CGTATTACTGAAACATCTAAACTGACAATACCATTAATTCCAACAAATGATTTATCTGATGATAGTCCGTTTAGTACTTACCGACCATCATTAATTCGTGAATATTCAACAAATGGTTTTGGAGGTGGATTAAATTCATTATCAACATCAATTGCTGATTGGACACGAAATAATCCGGCACCACTTTCTTATCGACCTATTCAAGTACATAGACCACCATCAGATTTTTCCAATCATAGTGAATCATCGAGTAAATCATCCTATATTCCACCAGTAAGTCCACCTCGTCAACAACAGCAACTATCACCACCACCACCACCACCACTGTCCACACGTACACAATCTCAAACTCAAAAAGTAAATTCTTCGGCTCCATTGGATAAAACATCATTAAATATGAGTCCTGATAATCCATTTGCTCAAACTTATGGTCAATATTATTATCCATCACCTGAAGAAATTAAAACACAAAAACGAACAAATGAACGTGTAACTCGTTTAACAGAACAACAATCAATTATTGAAAATAATCGACCAACACAAATAACGAATCAAATAACTGAATATCCTGAGACAGAAAAGAAAGACATAAATTCAGCCAAAGGAAATAATAAATTTTCTCGGTTTGATGTTACTTTTTAAATTATAAAGTGATTCTTATTTTTGTAATTAATTGTAACTAATTTTCTTGTTTAAAAAAAGTTGATCAATTTTCTTCGTCTGGTTTCTTTTCACTACATCAATCACGTCATTTCCTATATGAACTATTTCCATTTTGTTTATTTGATGACGTACTTATTCAAAGTAGTAACAAAAAATTCTTTTCTTATGCATGAAAGAATAATTATTATATGGAACACTGAAAAATCACAGAATCACTTTCCACCCCTCCCTTCTTTCGAATTTTATTTTTGACCAATATCAATTTTTCATTTGAAATTCATCACTAATATATAGATTCATATGTGCGCTGTTTGAATATTTATTGCGATAAATACTGAAAAAGCACATATGAATCCATATATATTGGTGGTGAATTTTTATCGGAACAGTAATATTGGTCAAGAATAAAATTTGAAATAAGTCAAAGGCGAAAGTTGATTTTATAATTCTTCACAGCACTGTAAGTCTCGGACTCATCTACATGTTAGTCTTTTGTCTTATGTCTTATTATCAGTATTAAAAACGAAGCACTTTTTTATTTTGTCTTATAAAAACTTGCAATTCAGTTCTCTTTATTAACATCAATGAGATGATGAGTTTATAAGTAAGCTAGACTAAATAGAATAAAGACAGAAAGACAAAAGAGACAATTTTTCTGCCCTTTTTTTACTAAGCTAACAAATAAATTTAAAAAGTAGCAGATACAAAATTGTAATTCAAAAATAATTGTGTTCTTTATTGTTGAATCTTTATTCAAAAAAAAAATGTTTGTGAATAAGACCTTCTCTAGAATGGTATTTTTGTCGAGTGTAACGATAATACTGTGTATGATTACATTGATTTAACGAAGTCTAAGAGATATTGATGATTGATCAGAAGAAGTTCTTAGTTCTCGAGAATTTGTCAATAGAGTAATCAATTCACGTTAATATTAGAAATATTTGTCTATTGTTATATTTGTCATCTTATATTGCATAACGACACGAGTTATAAGAAAAATAAAAGAATCGTGAGACCTACTTATGAATCATTTCATAGATTTAATTATTTAATCGATTCGAACAATTAAATTAAAACGAATAAAATAGTTAAACAAAAAACATGTAATCAAGGATGGTTTACAAGATCAAATCAATCGATTATAATCAAATGCATGAATTAACAAGTGGCGTACAAATAATGGCACAATTTGTATTCTGTTTTTCTCGACTAGCTTTCACTGTAGAAATTTTGTACCTAGCTTAAAACAATTTCCCTTTCAATTCTCTACAGAATTATATTAGAACATTTAATCTAAAGTTCCGATGTAAAAAAAAGTAACGGAATAATACTGAAATCCTCCAACATATCCAACTTTCTGGAGGGTTTTTGTTGCAAAAAACTTGGATTTTTTCCGATCATTAGACAAAAATAAAACATATCTGAAAAAGTTTTTGAGTGCAATGAACTGAGCTCTTTCTCGTGATATATAATACGAGTCATTTCAACCAAAGCATTATGACGCAGAGAGTAACTTCTTAAAACTGAATTGAAAGCAGCCAAAATTAGGCTTATTTTTCTAATTTCATCCGAACACACAATTATATTCTTATAATGAACATTCAGTGTAACATACCATTCATTTCTTTTCAAATTATAAAACTAGAAACTTAGAGGATTATGTTTTAATAGACTTTTACCAAAGCTTTTGAATGTCTCAAAATTGCTAATTCAAGACCATGATGTTTGTAATTTCGCGAACACAATATTCTTTTCTTGAGCAACGAACGTTGATGTGAAAACTTTTTAAACATAACTGAAAGATAGAGCCATTCTGCGTGCTATAAAATGCATAGCAAGTTTATTTCTATCGTTAAAATCTTAACAAATAAAACTAAAAATAACTATGTTTTGTGTTAGAAAGTCACATACATTGTATGCACGTGCAATTATTCAGTCACTTTTTTAAATGAGAAACTTATAAACGTTCTGATGTAATTTTCTAAAGAATTGAAAGGAGAGTCTTTGGACACTAGGTACAAATTTCTATAACGAAAGCTAACTGAGAATAACATCTACACTATTAGTGTTTACTTCGATCTTGAGATCAGTTGAAATAATTTCTTTATTGAGAAGTTCACAATTGAGTAAATATTTGTATGTGAAATATATTAAGTTTCTGCGTTATTTTTGATCTTATGATATGTTTAAAAGGATAGAGTTAGATTGAATGAAATAATTATATTGAAGTTTTAGAGAGTTTCTTTTTTATTCACATAATTTTCAAAGCTTACACTAACTTTATCAATTACATTGGAGAGTTCACAAAAAATCAAACTTATGCTAGTCTAACTTTGTATTTATCGCTTTAAACAATTCATGCATTTTTACTCCTTTTAGATCTTTTACTGCTTTCTGCTCATAGTTGTAAAGGAGAAATTAGATCAGGATAACATTCATTTTATGTATCTCTATGATTACATCTGAGTGAATGAAATGATTAAACGTAGTTTTTGTTTTATTTTTTATATTACTATACGATTTACTTTGGAAAAAATGATTTGGAATTGTATGACATAGCTCAATATTACCTTCCTGATAAGTATTGTTCATCAATCAGAAGATTCTTTATCAAACGATAATCGACGAGCAACTTCCTAGGAATAGGTTTTTAAATACTTCTCTTCAGAAGTTAAATGAAATAGTTCAAGTAGGGGTGCAACAAATCCAAACCTTTGGGTTTGGTGCAAAAAGATTTGGGTTTCATTTGGACTTGGATTTGGATTTGGGTTTGGGTTTGGGTTTGGCCTCAAATTACCCAAATCCGATGAAGCGCTCTAAAACAAAGTACCAAAAGAATGAAAATAATCAAAAGTCTTCAAAATTAATAAAAAACGATTCGGATTTGGTACAGATTTGGATNTAGCTATGGTTTTTACAAATCTCAAAGCCAAATCCAAATCTTAAAATGCACAAATCCAATAACCAAATTCAAACCTTATCCCCAAATCCAATGCCAAATCCTTATCCTATACCCCAATCCCAAACCAAATCCAAGTCCAAATCCCAAATCCCAAACATAGGTACAAACCTTGCTCCAAATCCAAACCCAAATCCAAACCCAAAGGATTTGGTCACAAATCTCAAATCTTGACAAGATTTGTTGCACCCCTAAGTTCAAGTCGATTAAAAAAATTAAATAAATTTTTCTAAAAATTTTATTATCATTAATATTATCATTGGCTTTAAGTCTAACTTGAATGATTTCTTTGAAAATGGATCGAACAAAGTTTTTATAAAAATAGTTGATCTTTGCATTACGCCATCCACTCCAATAAATACTTTAATTGGATTTAGTAAATGAATAATTCTTTCATTAGGATAGTTTATCGATTGTATGATTATTAATTATTCAAAAGCATTATTTTATCACGACTATAATAAATAAATCAAACCTTCGTTCATCTTTATCATTCAATTTGTTATATTGATTCTAATCAAATTTCTAATGGTTAATATTTGTTATGAATCAATTACATGAATAGTGTTTGTTTTCTCAGTTATCCTGCTTAACTAATTTCATTTTCTATTTCTCATATAATAAAACGAGCAAAAAATGAAAATCTTTTATGACAATTAGAAATCACATTAAACAGTCGATATTTCAATTAAATACTTAATATCTTTGGTACATATTAGGTCAACATTCTTATTAAATGAATGTTAAGTAAACATTTCGTTTTTTTCGAATTTTAAGAATGCAAATATTTTTATAAACACAGTGGAATATTTTGACAAAAATACTCTAAATCACATTTTCATGAATTTTTTGCTTGAGCAAGACAAAGATACAACAAATTAATTATTGTTAAGAAACGCTTGAAAAAAGATAACAATGGCAATATGCCTTGTTTTCATAAATATGTGAGTCTCCTGAAAACTAATGACGTTTACTTTCATTATTCCTTTTTATTTTTATTTTGTACCAAATTGTCGTGCAAGTCTTAAACATGCTGTTCTCAAATTATTTTCTCGTTCTGATCAATGAATAAAGGGAAAGAAACAAAATTTCTTTGCTAGATAATCGCTGAGCATTGAGAAGACTTATGATGCAGTTCACATTCAATGTTTATACCAATATGTAATGTCTGATAGATGATGGTTCTGTAAGATCTTATTAAGAACAAAAGCAAAATAAAATAGAATCATTTTAAGTCTTGACGAAAATTAATATATGAAAACTAAAATTGTCGTGAAATGGAAAGAAAAAAATTCTAGTATGTTTAAACGATTCATTTATCAATATAAAAAGCAAAAAAAAAATAAGTCGAAATGTTTATATGTCAATGAAAATGAAACTATTTTTTCATTTTCAACTTGATACGGTCAATGTTTTCTTTTATTTTGATTACATTTGGATGTGTAGGAGGATTTATACTACAATAGATTTGGCGCGCTTCTTTATAATGATATAAGGCCTCATCTAATTTTCCCTGGTCATCATAGATGGCACCTATATTATTATAAGTTGATGCAAATTTTGGATGTTGTGGAGGAAGAGTTTTTTTATAAATTTTCAGAGCTTCTTGATAATAAAATATTGCATCATCATAAAGTTTAAGTAAATAATGAGCATTGCCAATGTTGTTATACGACATGCCTAAAGATGTTTCATCAGATGGAAAATATTTTTGACGTATTTCAAATGCTTTCTGATAATATTCGAGCGCTTCTTTGTATTGCTTTTGTTCTTGATAGACAATACCAATATTGTTATAACATACAGCTTGTTTTGCAAGCGCTTTACCTGCTGGATCTTTTCCAAAAGCTTGCAATGCTTTGTCATAATATTCGCGTGCTTTAGCGTAATCACCTAGCTTTCGATAAATTTCTCCAATACTATTATAATTCGATGCAATATCTGGATGTTGGTTGCCCCATTTCTTCATATTGATTTGAAGAGATTGCTCGTATAACTTAAGACCAGTCTCATAATCACCTTGTTCGTCAGCTATACTTCCAAGTGCTTCATAACAACGAGCTTCATCTGGATGACCAGGTGGTAGTCCTTTATGTAAACGTTGATAATATATCTTTGCTTCATCCACTTTGCCCATTGTCATAAGTACATGACCAAATGAAAGAAGTTGATTTTTATCAGGAATTAAATAAATTTGTTCACTCTTATCAGAATATAATTTCAAATGAACTTGCCATATTTCTTGATCATCAATAAAAACTTTAACGACTTGGAAAATCGATCCCAACGTGAAAAATATTTCGTCTTCTCCAGAAAAACTAAGTGATTTAATATTAGCAAATGGCTTATCGCTACCGAGTCTAGAATCAGCTTCAATTTTGAACAATACTCTTTCTAACCCATCGGAATTTGATAGATATGAAAGAGCTTTTTTTGTATCCATAGTAGCTGAAAAGAATGAATTGATTGATATAAATTGTCCAACAGAGTTTTTTAACTTTTTAAATTTATCATTTGACATAAATTGACTTCGATAAGTGATTATCGGTGCTGTACGTCGATATTTTTCAAGTTGTTGTCGAATATCAACAATAAAAAATTGAAATAAAAATAAAATATCAATATTTTGTGTTCGAAGAGCTTTATTCAATAATCGAGAAAGAAATGAGTTTCTGGTATACCACCAAATAGCTCGATCTGGTGAATAATCTCTCTCAAACTCCTCGATAATTTTCATTTCATTTCGATTCTTTCTGTATATATTTTTACTCAGTGATATTAGCTCATTCTTATCACTCACATCCGATTTCACTTGAAGAAGACAATTAATTAATAATTGTGAATGCACAAGATGACCTTGAAGATCAGTTGTAAGTTTTTCATGAACAATCTTCGGATCAAAAATACTAATTGGTAATGACTCATACATGTTATCCTGCTGTTGTTTTTCATGATCGAACTGAATCCGAGCAATAAGTTCTCTTAAATTTGTAACTACAGCTTTTACCTATAAGAAATTGTGTGACAACACTTTTAGGATTTTAAAATTGTTCTTTTCATTACTTTTGAATATGCAGCAGACCATTGTTCATTTGAATTTTGGTTGCAACAATAAACATATATTGATAAGACTTGTTCAATTGGATGAAGACGAGGCACTATTTGTCGACCTAATTGTCCACTAACTATCAAAACAATTCGATCTTCTTTTGGTACAGCTTTTATATATTGTTCACACTGATTAGAATCTTCAAATGCTTTTAGTTGATTGATTGTTGCTCGAAGCTCTTCTTGAGCTTGACGATTCTCTTCTGTTTGGTTAACTAAACCATCGAGCCAAAGAAGAGAAAATGTTTCTAAATTGTCGTCTGCTGATGTAAAAATCTTATTAAGAATTTGTCCCATTGTTGCAAATTTTTAGTGTGTCGTCAAAATAAATATGTTAATCATTCTAAAAACGTGACAGCAATTATTGTTTCTTTAAGTTAATATTAGCCTAATAAGAAATTTTTCATTGTTTTGGAGATAAAAAAAGCACATGTATAGATTTTTCATTCTTACCTCGTATTGTGAAAGGCCAAATGCAAATAAATAGTGTAAGAAAGAAAACGAAAAAAGTGTGTTGAAAGAAAAAACAAAAATGTCGAGACCGGCATTTTATTTTATTTTTTAAATATTCATTGGACTATACTCAAAAAGCCATTTATAAACAAGTAGTATGAAAAGTATTTCCTATTGGCACATACTATAGCGAGGTACCATTTCTAGATGCAATAAATTTTTCTTCTGAAGTCAACATGGAAATTATTAAAGCTATTTTGTTTTGATATTTGGATAAAATAGACCAAGCAATGGCAAAAAACAATATCAACCAATCAATATCGTCTTTCTATTCTTCACTTTCATCCAAGCAAAATGTATACCATATGTATACAAGAATTTAAAAATAGATCAAAATATGTGGTTTTAGAGATCATGTAAACTATCTCATATTTCAGTTCTTAAACTTTCAGCAGAGAATTCTCTATTAATTAGGTGTAATTATATGAGAAATTCCAAAGGAAAAAAGTTACACATTACTGTATTTTTTATATGTAGTGTTGATTTTAAACGAAAATAACAAGTCTTTCAGTAATAAGATATTTCTCTGTAGTTTAATTATGTCTACTTTAATCATTGATTTAGACCTGATTTTTTGTCAAAAATTTCATCTTTTAATTATCTAGAATGTGTTACTTTTTTATTATTAAACAGACAATCGAAGATAAAAAAAAATTTCTAAAATAGGTTTTTGTTGAAAGTTTTTGACTGTATGTTTCAGTTGTAGAATGAGAGTATTTTTTGATGTTACTTGTTTTCCAATTGATAGAAATAGCGAATTCCTCGAAAATTAAGTAGTCTGTAAATTTAAATTTGAACTATTTTTTCATTGATCATAGAAAAGAAGTTGACTGGACATAACTATTGTGTTGATTGACAGATATCAAATTATGTGCCGTTTTGATGAAATGTTAAATTTGAAACCAGTGCTTTTTTGTTGATCAAGAGGCATTAAACTACACTATATGAATTCAGAATGTTCTTTCAGCAACATTTAAATAAGGAAATGAAATCTTCGAAAAAGTCTGAGCGTATCATTAGAACAGCACATAACAGAAATCCGTGAAACAGGTGGAAAATAGTTTTACCACGGTCTTGCTAAGCATTTACTTACGCATGGCTAAATTGTGAATGCTTTTGCATGTCATTTCAAGAGTAGTTCACGAAGTATGGCCACCATCATGAATATTTGAACAAATATTTTGTTTCACATTATATACCATCACGTAGGGCAATAGACGAATTGTATATACATATACTACCTATCTAGAATTAAAGCTAAATTGTAATTATTGAAGTAACTCTCAGAGCAAGATCATTATGCACTGTCAATTATACAAATAAAAATAGTAAACTAAACCGAATAAAAAATTTATATGTATCTATGTATTCTTGTCTTTAGTCACAATGCTAATACTCAAAAGATATCTGCAAGAAATTGCTAGATGTCGCTATAGAATTGATATCTATTCAGCGACAGTTGTATCGTAAGGAGAGGGACTGAATGTCAAATCTCACATCGTTTTGCTGTCGAAAAGCTTGCAATAATGATGTTAAGTCAACTTCTTTTCTAGCATTGATGAGGAACATTCATTAATGGATAGTTCACGTTTAAATCTTCGACTACTTAATTTTCGAGGGATTCTTTACTCCTATCAATTGCAGGAAATGGTAACATCGAAAAATTCTCTGCGTTAAACAATTGACACATGCAATCAAAACCTTTTAGCAAAAAGTTCTTTTAGAAAATATTTTTTATCTTCGATTTTTTGTTTAAAAAATGCCCCGAACAATAATGAATAGTATTTATACTAATAATAAAAAAAGACAATATTTTTGAGAGACAAAAATATTAAGTCTGAATCAACGAATAATAAAATAGATATCATTAAAATATACATAAGTTGGTTGTTCCTGAAGTATTCGTTATTTTAACTACGAGTGTAAATCTATAAGACAAGGAATATTTTTCTTCAAATTTGACATTTCTTGATGATCAAAATATTTTAGTCAAATAACAGTTATTGATTTTTTGAATTTGAAAACTTTTGTCATTGAAACTATCTATTCAAGAATTCAACTTGAAAAGAAATGCGAACAGAATTAAAAAATCAAAAATGAACAATGACCACGAGCTATCGGGATAGAATAATATAGAATGTATCGTTTATGTTTGAAGAATGATATTATACTACTAAACAAATGGTAGTATGGTTTGTCATTGAATTGAAAGAAACATAGACTTCGAACTTCATCTCAATCGATTTTCATTATTTGTTTTTGTTTTTCGTTTATTAACTTGATTAATGTCAAACTGAAGGTAAATAAGCGAATAGCTATTCATCAGTCGAAGTGTACCTAAATCACACTTTAAAATATTCTCAATAATCTTGAGCGTGAAAATGTATAATACCACTTGAATAAGACTTCTTACGTGTATCATTGATAAATAAAGCAAACAGTTAAACAACCAAGGATGTTAATATAACAAAAAATATCTTTTGATCGCAAAAACACGATTGAAGTATTTATTGAGTTTAACATGCACTGATACATAATGCTAACATTTAGTGTCATTGAATACAATTTATTTTCGTTATGCATTCCGTATACATCATCAAAATCATTGAGTCTATTGAGAAACACATGAAGACAAGTACTAAAGTACATATGATGAAGCTCACTATAATCAAAACACAATACTAAGAATAGAAATTAAAAGTAGATGTTAACTTGATCGAAAGATTCAAATCTTTGAAAACAAAAAAAAACCAAAATTATTGACATATCATTAATAATGCAAATAAATCTGCAAGATGACAGATGAAAACAAGTATGTCTTAAATTCTTCTTCAATAATGAAAATGTGTTTGTCTTTATATTTATATAAAACTTGTGTGCACCACAATGACAAGAAGAAAAAGACAAGCAAGCATAGAATTATTCGTACTTGAATATACAATAACGAAAGAGTTAACAGAATATTCTCATACCGGGAATATAATTATGAGAAAAAAGAAAAACGAAACTATGAAGACCAACGCAAAAGACTTAAAACCAACGTTTACGTTTAAAACATGCGAGCATAAATATAGCAAGACTAGCCATAACAGTTAAAACAATATAATAACCATATTTATATGTAAGTTCAGGCATGTTATTAAAATTCTTTAAGAAAAGAAAATGAAAGAAATTAAAATAAAATATTATATAAGAATATCTATTTACCATGCCATAAACTCCACTAATAAAAGTTAATGGAATAAATATCGTTGATATGATTGTTAATGTTTTTACAACTTCATTCATAGCATTTGAATTAAGCATCATATAAAAATCAATAAATGATGCTAACATTTCCCTGTATGTATCGATAGAATCATTAACTTGTACAACATGATCAAATAAATCTTTTAAATAAATATTTGTACTTTCTTGCATTATTTGGGTTTCTTCTTCTTTTTGCAATTTAATTATTATTTCTTTTAATGGTGATATTATTGCACGTAAATATAACATATCACGTTTCATATCATATATAGATTCTAATGTATCACGTTTAAGTGTTTTCATTAATTGATTATCAATGGATTCAACTTTTGTGCCCATTGTATCAAGTACATCCATATAATGATCAACAATAACATCAACAAGTGAATAAAAAAGATAATCAATTTTAGATTTTCGAATACGACCTTTTCCTTGTCGAATACGATCTTTTCAATAAAAACAAAACAAACTCATTACATTAATATATATAAGAAAAATTTCTTACTTTTTATTGAATCAAATAAATCTTTAGGTGTTTCTTGAAATGTTATAAGAAGATTTTCTTTTAAATAAAAACTAATTTGTTCAATAATTGTATGTCCTGTACGACCAACATCACGAAATATTAATTTACATACAAGAAATAAAGCATCATCAAGTACATCTAATTTTGTACGTTGTTCTGTTGTTGTTATATCTGTTTGAACAAGTGCATGAATATCATAACGATTACCAATTTGTGCTATTATATCACGTTGATGTACACCATCAACATCTATCCCTGAAAATTATAATTGATATTTATTTTAAATAGTTTCCTTAAGTCAAACAATCACATGGTAAGACTTCACAAAATTATATTGTTAATCTTATAAGATCAAACGAAAAATTAATGTTACTATAAGCTTATAAGAAATTTTATGTTTGACTTTAACTTCTTTTAAGAATCTTATAGTATTATTTTATTTGATCTTACAAAACGTTACGGTTGTTTGTTTTGTCTAAATTTAAGTATTTTGATAAAGACTATTTTCTATGAGACAAAAAAGAACACATGACTTGCTAATATTCATATAAAGAATAAAGGAAAATGAACTTCTATATATAACTGAATTTGGTTAGTTAAAAATTTTATACATGAAGAAATATAAAGAATATTTCAATATTGTATGGTGATGGTTTCTATTGTATGATAAATTCAATAGAGATGAAACAGATAAAACTCATATATTTGATCAATAATTGTTAGTAGCTATTCATTTTAAGTGCAAAAGATATTCGTACGTAGATATTCATCGACAAAAATAAAAGAATGGAGAAATTTATCTATCTTTTTGCTTATGAATAGTCAATCTCTTAAGTGAACTTGTTCGATTTATTTATTATCTGAAGACTCATCGATTTTCTTTTTTCTGAGTAATACTAATCGATATAAATTTTCGAATGAAAGTTTTCTTTTTTTTTTCTTCGCAACAGTAAGCATAAAGAAAAAAAAGCAACGAGACTGCAAGTTTACATATAACTGATGAAGACGCTGATAATTGCAAAATTTTTGATAAATATTTCTAAAAAATAATCGAAAATGTTTTTGTATTTATTTTCTGACATGATAAAGATCTACTGTAAAAAAGTTACAGAAGATAAAAAAATATCGATCAATGCGAACGTTATTTAGGTGAAAATTTTCTGTCGTTTTTTTTTGTATCGAAAATTAATCAAGGACAATTATTTGGGTTTTTTTTCGTTTCTATTTGAGTCTTTATACATACATAACATCGGAGTCGCTGATGTTAATGGTAGACTTGGGATGTCATCGACTTTTTTATATTTTCCTTCTGTGTATGAATTTTCATCATAAGTAAAAACATTTAATTGAACAGGTGATCTAAAGAAAACAATAATAATAATAAAATTTGAAACTTTTATATATCTATTCAATCATTATTATATTTTTCTTACGTTGGATCAGAAAAATGCACAAGTGTCCCTGATAAACAAGCACCAAATGCAAATTGTGTAAGATGACGATTAACTGATGTTCGTCCATTTGTTGTTGTATGATTTGTTGCACCAATACCTGGTTTTGTGCGTCGAAATGGTATAAAACTTGTTTTACGTCCTGTAAAATTTTTCACCATACTGAATAATGACCTACACGAATAAACAAAAAAATAGAAAAAAATCAATCAATTTGATTGAACTCTAAAAATTAAACTTATCGAAATATGTGATTACCGATTAATTTACATTTGAATGAAAGGAAATAAAAAGGTCTTGCTTAAGATAGATAAGATAGAAGAATTCGTTGAATTTTTGTTGTTAAAAAATAGCTATGTCGATGATATTGACAATTCCAATGATTACGATAGTAGACAGTGACGTTTGTCATTAGTTTTACACGATCGACTCTACTGTGTGCATGACCGTGTGCATATCAGGAAGATTAATTTTTTTCGCCTTTTCTCTTTTTTTTTCTTTTCTTTCTCTCACCTTTTACATCAAATGAATAGGTAAATAAAACCAATCAGATCATATTTTATCGAAATCGAAAAGCACATTCATTCACATATTTTTTCCTCAATTCTCAGGGACAAATAGAAAAAAGAAACATATGATTTTACAGAGGACTAATAGAAATATACGTACACCTTGACTTACTATCGGATAGATAAATAAATAAACAGAAAAACGAGAGCAAAAATGAAAAAAAAAATGAATCAACTAATTAAACAGAGACTTTGGTAAATGAAGAAGAAGAATCTTAATGTTAGTTGGAGTCAAGCGTGCGTATCATTGTTCTTTGACCTATGAGTCAATTAGTAAATAACCTTCTCGTTGAGATTAAATTGAAGAACAATTGCAAAAAGTCAATTAAGAAATTCAATAAAGATAATTCATATTCGTTTTTTTCTTCTTGTCATAGTTTTTTTATTTTTTTGTTTGAAAAATTGTCGATGACTTGTTCTATTGTAACGTACAAACTAGTAAATGAGAATGCATTGACACGTCTTTGAATGACGTCTCTCGAAAGAAAGTTTTTTATTGGTTATTCGACTGGTTTCTAAGCAGCAATTCAATTGAACTTACCATTTTGTTCTTTTTTTTTTTTCTTATGGAATAATACTAAATTTGTTCATGTCGTCTAATAGAAATCTTTTGCGATTAAATAAACTTTATCGAACACAAGAAAACAGTATTATTAAAAAAAAATTTCTTCTTTTATTAAGACTAATTAAATATATTTTTTGCTTTATTTTTGTATAGGCCTTACTGATGTTGTTCGTATAACTGATGAGAATATTCCGAAATATCGACAAGTTAATTATGATGCTATGAGAGATGTTATTAATGAAAGAAGAATATGTGGAACACAAGCATTAGAACGAAGTATTGAACGCTTATCTTTTTTTCGTTGTGAACATTGTTTGTTTTTGTATATAATTATAGTTTCAAAATTACAAAATGATAGTCATGCTATTCGAGAACAAGCAGAATTAAAAATTTCACGTGATTATTGGTTTAATGAACAACATAAATTAAATCAACAATATAAAAAATATGATAATGAACATCGAACATGGCTTACAGAAGCATTTCATGATCCTGATTTATTATCATTATTTCATGAAATAACAAGATATAGAATATGGCTTGATGAAAACACTATAAAATTTCGAAAGACAACTGTTTTACCAATTATTCAATTAAAGTTTGTTCATTGTTTTATTTTATTATAATACAAATAAAGCTTTTTTTTTATTTTAGAGAAGAATTACAATCAAAAACAATAACAACAGATAATATTGAGAATATTATTGATGCACTTCAAACAGTAAAAAATGAACAAAATGAATTAATTCTTATACTTAGTCAAGAAGAACGACAACTTGAAGAGGAATTAAAAGAATGTAATTAGCAAAAATATCTTTTCTTTTAGCTATATCCTAATTGAGAATAAAAATTAAACCAATCAGTACGAAAGTGTTCGCAATTTAGAATATAGAGCTTTATGTTGATTGTATTTTTAATATATTTCCAAGTTCCGAACAGTTTTTAGTATCAAGTAATCAACAGTTTTAATTGACAGTAATATAAACACTAACAAAACCGATATATAACAAAAAAACTTATGCGTCATAAATTTTGTATTACAGGCTGATCAATGTCAGTTAATATTTAATGCTTCAATCGGAAAAATACAGTTTGATCATTTTCTGGTAATTTGCGTCCGTGATTATGATTTGCACAATTTCATTTTATAATTACATTTTTTCAAAAAAACTAATATTACAAGAACATCACTTGAAAGCACAGACATGAATTAGTGAATCGTTCTGACTTTCAAGGTCGCAATGGAGTATAAATAATTATTATATAAAATGGTTGTTTCAATGATTGACTAAGTAAAAAATTTGTATATTTGAATAAATAATTAGTTAAGATATTCGTAATTTAGAAACGCATAAAAAAATGAAATCAACGTAAATTTCTGTATTCCAAATTGTGAACACCTTTGTACTGATTGTCTTAGTTTTTGTTCCTAATTTAGAAGCTACAGAAAAAATCGGTACTCTATATAAAATTTTTACAATTTTAATATTTCTTTATATTTGTATAGTTCAAAAATATATTGATGAAGACGATGAAATAAATATGATTGAAGAAGGTATACCAGAGTCAATTGTAGAGTTACCTTGTCCCGATGATGAATTACGTGCGACAATGCTTCAAGAATTTCTTATTATTGATCATAAATATCGAGAGACTCTTCTTGATTTAGATGCTAATTATCTTCATATAATCAAGTAGAATATTTTAATTTTTATTGTTATGTTTTATACATGTTTATACGATTTATTTAGTCAAGAAAATGATGGTTGGGATATTGATGAACATGAAATGTTAGTTCATTTATATGAAATATATCCCGGTGATGTAAAAAAACGCCGAACATGTATATATAATCATTTTCATCGTTATTATCCAAAACGTTCAAGACAAGAAATGGTAATAAAATTAAAATATTTTTCATTATGTTTTTTTACCATTGATATTTTATAACATTATAGCTTAAACATGAAGAATGGTTTAATGCTCAAACTTACTATCTAAAACATAAACATTTAATTTTATATGAATGGTATTTATACAATTATTATTGTGTTGTTTGTTTTTGTTTTTTTGATAGATTTTTCTTTTGCTTTGATATTATAAATAGGAAACAAGCTCGTATAGCATTAAAATTAAAAGCTCAATTAGCATTTCAAGAATCATTTGAATTACAAGAACGTTTAGCACAACAACATGAAGAAAAAATGAAACAACGTGCTTTATGTGAACAATTAGCAAATCAAGTAGAAGATAAATTTTCATGTTTCAATGATACTTATTTTTTGTATTTAAGGTACAAAAATGGAGAGAAAAACAACTTGAAGTATTAGAAGTGAAACAAAAATTAGAAGAATCAAAACGACAAGCTGAACTTGAAAAAATTCGACAAGAAAATGAACGACTACAAAAACAACGTCAACAAACGAAAGAAAAAGTTAGTTTGATTTTAATATGATTGTTTTTTTTAAATAGAAGTCAAAAACAATGATTCAATGAGATATGATTATGTTATTAATATAAATACAACAAAAAATAAACAAAATAACTATTATATTTGAGATTTTGAGATTTTTTTTTTCAACAGTCAAAGTAATTCCGTTGTTAGTTTATGAATTAATTTAAAAATGAACTATATATTTTTGTCGAGAATTGCATAGGGTAATAAAAAAGAAATATATCTTATCACATTTGAATTATTAATTTAGCTTGCTGAATATTATTCAAAAAAAGAACAAATTCGATTAGTCGAATATGATAAAGAACAACGACGTTTAGATGAAATGCAATCTATTCTTGCTGAACAACAACGTAAAGATTGGGAACGTATTAAATTTCGTCAAGAAGAATATGAACGAAAACGACAAGATATACTTGAACGTAATCAAATTGAAGAACGTGAAGAAATTGAAAGAGAAGAACGTCTTCAAGCACTTGCTGAACGTGTTCGACCTCATGTTGAAATAGATCATGCTCGTGTATTACAACCAACTAAAGTAAATAAACTAATTCGAATCAATAATTAATTAATAATATACAGACTGACTCAAAAAATAATTACTGAATATCTCCAGTCTGCTTTAATCATTCGGACTGGGTTTTTTTCTCAGTAATAGAAAATTCTTCAAAAATTTTATTGACAAGAATATGGTCAATGATACTATTTGTAACTAATACAATTGATTGAAAGTATTCTCTTATGATCTAAGATGTTTCCAAGGCTATATATAGAAAAAATGTTTATCATATGTATTACTATAGAAATTTATGTCAACAAGAACAGTTCGATCTTGGGTGTGGGTGTGGGTTCGCTTAAAACTATAGAATATTTAATTATAATCTTTAGTTTCAATTAGAACAAGTTTTTTTTCTCATGGTTCTGCATATCTCTAATCCGGTCTCTATCACTTCAATTGAATAGGTGTTATGATCTATTATAACTTTCCTTACTATGAATTCTATAACTCAAGAAGAGAAAAAGCTTACGAGCTGATCAACCTATTGTTATCTAAAATACACGTAGCTTTTGAACACTACACAAATTTATAGCGTAAATAACTGCATTAAGAGATTACATAGTGAGAGGTTTGCTAAGTCATCAGTCTCTTCCCTTTGTGAGTTATAAGATTCATAATGAGAAGTGTTACTATAGGTCATAACTCCTCTTCAATTCAAGCAAACGAGACTTGACTAGTCTCATTAACTCATATTTCTAAGGAAGTATATACCCAAAAAATGTCTCTTGTCTAGCTCAAAGAATGTCTCAGATAATTTTGATCTAGAGCGTATTTGTTCCGTTGAAGTCAAAACTATTAGTACTACACAGAATTTATTTGGTAGTTTCCTTATAATTAAAACCTTGACGAGTCCTCTACTACCACAAAAAAGATTCTGCTCGATTGATTAAAGCAGAAGGAAAATATAAAATAATTTTTTGTCATCCAGTTGTTTATAGATTATACTATAGATATACATATATATATTCTAGGCGTATAATGCTCATCGTGGTTTACTAGCAAATACAAATGATGATATTAATATACAACAAGAATTATTTCCTATTAATACATTTAATGATCGAAAATTATGCAGTGATATTCGTATTCGTCTTGAACAACGCTTACGTGATGCTGGATTAATACAAACTGATTATGCTCGACAAGCATTAGCTGCATTACAAAAAGCACCAAAACGTATTGATACACAAGCAAATCAAATGTGGAATGGTTTTACATTTAAAACAAATAATATTGAACAACATGATATATCAAAACCAATAAAACGAGATTTTATCAGTCATTCAGTATTCTATGGAATAGAAAATTAAATATTTGCTTGTTTTTTTTTTATTGAAATATACGAAAAAGATAAACAAAAGAGAGCACAGATCATTTCTTTACATAAATATATAAATAAATAAATATTATACAATAAAAAGTATTAGTCAAAATATTTCATTTATTTAAAGCGATAGTACGAATATCGAACGCAATTTAATAAAACATTGTTTTATAAAACGATTTCATTACTTCCATTTTCAATAGGATATATTCCTGTTAAACCAGGTTTTATCATATATGGTAATAATGTATGTATGTGAATTAATGAACCACTATCTGTTGTTGATGAAGAATTATCATTTGTTATATCAAGTAATGGTTCAATTGATTTATAATATTCTTCATATGTTACACTATTTGCTTCCTGATCATCAGTTGTTAATATAGATGTCTGTTCATTCATATAAGATTTAAGTACATCAGGTCGACATGGACATTCAAAATGTACACAATGAAATACTTCATTAGCCGTATTATGAGTACCACATATACGTACAAAAACAACAATACGGGGAGAAAATGTTAAGATTTCCCATGATCTATAGAAACAGAAAGCATATATTCAATGAAATATGAGAGCATGAAAAAAAAAATTTAACAACAACATATTTTTCTATGATGTTAAGAAACTAGCTCAAATACAGACACTAATTTTACTAGTCAATAGAGTTTTTGTATATAATGCATTCTATTGAAAAATTTCATAGATGAAGATTTCTAAAAGAATCTAATACGATAGTTTTCAATTCCAAGAAGATATTGTCACAGTCATTTTAACGAGCATAAAATTTTCAATAAAATGAAAGGTCACCACATTTTCTATAACTTTGGCGTGAAAGCTTAAAAGCAGGACAAAACCGTAAAAGAACTTTTTTTTTCAGTCTATTTTTTGATTAATTTCGTTTTTTTATGGTTTACGTGACACTTTTAATTTTTAAGAGAAGGTCATAAAAAGTGCGATGACTCCTCATTTTTTCAGAATTTTGTGCTTGTGAAAACAGTTTCAACAAAATCTTCTGGAAACTGAAAATTATTGTGTCCAGTATTTTTAGAAATCTTGGTATCAAATGTATTTACTATTAAAAATACGTTGTTGTTGTTGTTAAATTCTTTTGCATCATCTTATATATAAAAAGAAAACTTACTTGCAAGCAATTGTTTGTTTATCAACAGCTTTCGACCATGTTATATTATCATATGAAGTTTCAATATAATAAGAATACGAACGATTATCACAATCCCATAATAATAGTCTAATATAAAATTTAAAAAAAGATTATTTTAATTCTAATAATCGTTCATCTTACAAAAGAAGATTTAGAAAAAAAATGAGAGGATTTTTCTCACGATAAAGACCAGTGGAAGATATGGGTATTAATATCAATTAATTAAAAGAAATATTTCTCTTATATTCGATGCTTTTTTCTTTCGATAAACATTACGTAGAACAAGATCTTCTATTCCTTAATCATTCAGATGAGATATTCTCTTCGGACATTAGCAAACAATTTTTCAACAAGATAGGTACTTACTAAATTCCTATTAATAGATTTAAGTAAAACGTCTTTGCGAAATCAAAACTAATTTTCTGGGTTCTGTCAAAGACGATTTGCAAATAAGTTAATCTAATAGAGAAAGCATTTCTGAACAAAATATGATGTCCCCAAGCTCGCCATGACCTTTATTTAGCTAATTGCATTCATACTACGAAAGGCCTAAAAGTGTCAAATAAAACAAATTCATATAAATTTTTCATACAAACAACAGAAAAGTCTTTTGGGGCTTTCTCACAATGATTGTCGTTTGCTGAACATAGGTCATGGAGAGCTCAGGAACATCTTATTTTTCTCAGAAATGTTTTCTCTATTAGATGAATTTGCTTTCAAAACGTTGTTGATAGAATCCAGAAAACTGGCTTTGGTTTTCCAAAGGCTTTTCGCTTACACTTATTAATGAGAATTCGACAACTACCTATCCTGATAGGAAATCGTTTAAGCTACTCAAGTCTTTTCTCCAATTCGTTCTAGCTGTTTTTGTTAAGGAAGAAAACAGTCAAAAAATACTTCATTTCAAAACTTTTTTTTTTGCCTTCATCTTATATTTAGCATCATCCAGCTCGATCAATTTTAACCTTAAGACTAATTAAATTGGCTCCATCTTCTATTTTCAATCTTAGTTAGTTTCGATGAAACAAAAATAAAAAATTCATTAAATTTTAGTTTTAACAAGAAAAATAAAAAACAAATGTCTGCATGTAATCAAATTTGTCATATTATATATATTTACTTTTGAACAATCTCTAGTCTTCAAATCAAAAAATATTCACCTCATTGAACTGACAACATGTGGTTGACATAATTGAATAACAATTCCACCTGAACCAAGTTGATGACATGTATATCCTAATTAAATAACAAAATTTCTAATAAAAAAAAAACATCATTTCTAATTTTCATTAATACCTGAATCCCAATCATAAGAAAGATAATCTCCATTAATCAATGCATTTCGTACACGACTAACACCTTCGGATACAACAGCACTAGCTTCTAATGTGGCTACATTATGTACTGGAGCTAAAAAAGAAAGTCAAAATAAAATAAGAACAATAATATAAATAAGTTTTGTTTTCTGTTTGTCTCATACCATATATATCTCCAATAAGTGCAAATGGTTTTTGAATAAAATAAACTTCCATTGAAACAAGATGAAATACTTTATTGACTGTATTATATGTTCCAGCAATACGAATTGATCTAAAGAAAATTTTATTATTATTTTCGAAAACATCAATTTTAATTATAATAATATTACGTTGCAACAATAGGTGCAAAATATAATTTTTGCCATGAACGACATAAATATACACGATAATCAATAATACGTGTCCATGTTATATCATCAGCTGATACTTCAACATAATATGAATACGCACTAGAATATTAAAATAAATTAATTTATTCATATTAATGAAAATTTTTTTCTTTTCTACCGAGTATCTTTATCCCAAAGTAATAATTTAATATGATTAATTATTGATGGTCCATCTAATTTAACACAAATGTTATGCAAATCATCGATTGGATGTCTAGTAAAACCACGATCCTAAATTAATAAATTTTAAATTGCTTATTAAAAATTAAAAATGATACAAACAAGATCATAATTAGCTGTATCACCATCGAGTAGAGCATGTTTCATTTCTCCTAAAGGAAAATTTATTTCAGAGTTTATTGGCATTTAAACATTGCTATTCTTTTAATAGTAATTGCAAAGAAACTTTCGAGAGGAAAACATAGAGAAAATGAAAATAATAGAATCACCTCTACTGAGAGAAAAAGTGCATCAAATCGAATTCTTTTGGCCGATATGTTGACTAATTCACAAGTAGAATTTGACAAACTCTAAGGACAAGCACCAACTTGGGGTAGGTCGATCTTAATATAATGGGTTTAAGACGAAAGCATTGACTTTTTTTCGTGGGAGCCTAAAAAGAAAGAACGGTTTTTGATGTTTTTCTGCTTCTGTGCGATTTCAATGCGTTATTGTTCACTTGTTAACAAATAAAGTTTCACCTGCCTATATTGTGTTACAGATAAGATACTGCAAACCAATATAATCTGAAGCATGGGTCAGCTTCCATTGTTTCGGGCAACTTCAGCGCGAATCTTCTCTCTCTCTCTCTCTCTGTAGCTGAAATTGTTAAATATTCAGAAAAAAATTGATTAAAGCAGAGTTCTCGCTAGAGGAAATTTCAAGATGAATGGTTGAAACTAGGTGGAATTATGAGTCTCTTTTCGACAAATTCTATTAACTCTTAGAGGCAAAACTAAATTTTCAAATAAGGGATCAAACGTCATAAAAATTTGTTTTCTGTATTGAACTATCCTTTACTGAAGAAAAACTCTATATTGATCTTCTAGTTTCTTCACATGAAGATTGATTAAGTCTTGATTGATCCTTACAATCTAGGTTCAACTTATTCAATTTATGATCAAAATATGAAACCAAAGGATTAAAATTTAGGTACTTTTTCAGTAGTAGAGAAGTCTATTTGCGACTACTGTATATCTCGGACACAATCATTAGAACGAGAATCTTTGATTAAATCAATTCACATGAGTATTATCGTATGAAGAATAATTGTATTAAAAATCATGAAACGTTTATATTTATTCTAAATGTTCGAACTTAATAATGTTCTTCTTTTGAACTTCTATTTTTATATTAACATTCAAAGGCTTTTACCTTCGATAACTTGAGCATGACATGCTTTTGTTGCAATATTTTCATCTAATCCTATTCAATAGTAATATTAAAAAACAAAAAAGAATATTCCAGAATCATCTTCAATATTCTTACTTAATCTTCCTCGATAACATTTTCCTCGTATCAATAAATCTTTATTATTTCCTGATTGATTTATATTATCATCATTGCTATTTATTGATGTTCGTGTTTCATCATTAATTGAATCAATAGCATCCATTAAACGATTAAGATCAAATAAATTTGAATAACGTACTATTTTTAATAATTCGTTCATTGACATTAATGTTAAACGTACTTTAGATACAATATCATCAAGTGGTTTCCAATTTTCATTTTGTTCTTGATAATGATATTCATGCCATTTTTTAACAGCATAAAATATTTCAATTTCAGGACAATAAAATGAATCACGTGCAATTATTGATGAAAATGCTTCCTAAAATATGACAATGCATTCATATCTCTTATCAGTTTTATAAAAATATATATATGTCATAGAAAAACAAAAAACAATAAAAACATCAGTTATTTCATCAATATGATAATACAAAGTGTATTTATTCAATTTTTTCTTGTGGCTTCAGTATTTCTAGCAAATGCTCAATATCCAGTACCTATTCCACCAGGTGGCCGAATGGCAGTACATGGTTGGCTTATACTTCCTTGGGATACGAATGTAACTGATGGTCCAATTCAAGCATGGTTTTCTCATCATGTTCCAGAATTTGGGATAGATTCTCCACATAATTTTCAAATAATTCTTAATGGTCTATTAACTCCATTATCTTGTTTTAATACAGAACCTATTCCAAAACCTATACCAATTCCTTATCCTCCACATGATAAACTGCTTCAATATGAATATACAATAACACCTCCACCTGCATTTTCATTAAATGATCTTTTATTAGAAAAATTAACTGAATTCAAAGGTGTTATTTATAATGGTTCATTTGATACAACTTATCAACGTATTCCACTTGCTTTAGGTACATTAACTATTCGACAATTAACTACAGCTGCTTATTTAAATGATTCACAATTAATTCCATCATATCCTGATTTACGTTATCTATCATATCCACGTGATATGTCATCATCAGGTGCTACAAAACCATTTCAACATATGTATTTTGTGCATGAAATTCATTTAGTACCTGATTTTAATCATATTATTCATGTTAGTATTGATACAACACAATGTCATTGTGATAGAAAATATCCATTATTATGTAATAATAAAAGAATATTACAACAAATTCGTACACCTGGTGTTGAATGGTCATTTCCAACATTAACAAATGATGTAGAACATCGTTTACTACCTCCTATGATTATTAAAGGTCGAATAATAAATGGACCTGTTCTTTGTCCCATAACCGTCCTCGAATCAATACATTGTATGATTGGACCAAATTTTGATGAAAAATGTTAAGCAAACCAAGAACAAAAAAGAAAATCTATTGGAAATAAACTTACAGATGATAATGTTAAAAATTCATTTGTTTTAATTATTTCATTTGCATGATTATCAATAAATCGAGCTGAATGTTGTTTAAGATTTTTTAAATTATAAAGACAAGCTGTATCATAAATCGTACAAACATTTTTTAATGATAATATTGATTTTAAATAAATTGATAAACTAGTTTCTAATTGTTGAAAACCATATTGATGTACAAGACCAAGTAAATCAAGTAAAATATCTTCCTATAAAAAAAAAAAATAAAATGATTATAAAAAGAAAAATGAAATTTCTTTCGTGTTTTTTTCTTTTACTTTTTCTTTAAGTAAATTAATTCGTCCTGTATAAATATATTGTAAAAGAATTTTAAATGCTGCCGATTTACATTCTTTTATTTCAATTGCATGATTATCACATTGAGATTCACGTAAACCTCCATAGAGTAATGCACGAAAATATTCTGAACGTGCAGCTAATATAATACGATGAGCATAAAAATGTTCAGATTCAACAATTAATTCAATATCACTGTACTCAGATTGATTAAAGAGATTACCTAAAACACAAATATTAATTATTCTAAAGAAAATATCATTTAAAATTTTTAAACATACGAAAGTTTTTTAATTTATCAAAGACCAACTGAAAGAATACTCCTACCTTGCAGTATGGGATGCTGTCGAGTGGTAAATTTAATAATCTTATGTCTTCTCTATAAATTAATGCTAGTTTATAGGCCAACCTAATACACAGTTATCGCGCTCAATTGCTTGATTTACTCATACACCCTAGCTACAAGAGTAAGTATGTACGACAACGTAGTCAGTATACTATCAGATGGATGATCTGACACAAATAGTCGTTAGCGACTTGTTGCGTATGATTCCATGACTGCTGACGCTGATATTTGAACACAGTACCTTGTGAATATGTGTTGAAAAGCATGGCCACTCAAATATGACGACTAAAGGACAAGTGATGATGTGTGAAATCAAAATCGTTATGTGTCTTATATGTAATGAAGGAAGGTTTTTATGCTATATAATAAATTTTACGATTTAGATAACAAACATTTTTCTTTAATCTTGCTATTGTGAATAAATTGAGTTTTAAATAGTTTAGTTAGATTCTGCAAAATTTCGCATACGTTCGAAAATTTTATTATTGGTTACGACAGAATAAATGAGTCTCTCAGTATTTTTTCAATATGTAAGGAATTTTTTATCGTTTTCGAACTGAACGTTTATCGAATAGATGCAGTATGATATTGCCTATAAATCCGCAGTATCATGTTGAAAAAGATATAAGCAAATATTTTGTGCAACATTAACAACTTTCAATTAAGAGTTCGTAACATTACTTTCTGTTTCATTTGACTAATAAACAATTGCTAAAATGTAGCGAAGTGCTATATTTCAAGCACAATGAAACATGTTCGAACTAATGTCATGCACGATTTAACCTTATTAAGAGCAAAAATATCATTTCCACATAATTCATCAAAAACTATCCTACATCGAATCGTCAACATATAAACTAAGAAGTTCACACCAAGGGAGTAATTTTAGTCTTGAATGAATCATATTTTCGCGTACACAAGGAACGTGTTTGACTCAGAAAAGGAATATGGATTTTACACGAAAGACGTTTTTTGAAAAAATTATTAAGTATAACTATAAAATAGAACTTTTCAATTTCTATAAAACATGTAATAGAAGCTTTTCATACTTCAGTACGAGAACACAAAAAAACTCAATTTTCTGCTTCAGTCACCTTGACTGTTGAATCAAATTTTTATTTCTCTCTTTTCAACCAACAATGTCCTACTGTTGTCTATTCAATTTCATAGTCCGCCTTTTGAGAAAAAAAAAGGTTCATTCGGAAACGGTAAGAAATAGCTGACATATTAAGAAAGTACTGTATGACTCATTTATTTTGTCGCATCCGATATAACTTATAAATGTAAAGAGTTTGATGACATAGATAATCGGCAATTCGATAAAATTCAGAAACGAGATAAATAATTCATACAACCCAAGGTTGAAATTCAATCAGTTTTAAATTGCGAAACCTTATAGATATCTTTCATTAAAAAAAAAAGTGATGATCAAACTTATAGAATATGTCAATGACTGTATTCATTCGTCAAGGCAAGAGGCAAATGTATGCCTTAATCGTTTGAGATCATTTTAAAAACTCATTAATTATCGTTTCGACATTTTATGAGAAAAAAAAAAAAGAAGATAATCCTTATTAATAAATAAAAATCACAAGAATGTTTTTTATTATTCTTTTTCTCTCATGACAAAAAATGATTCTCTATTGACATTATTTTAGTTTAAACTCATAAAGAATAGAATTATATATTCGATATTTACATACCAAAATCTCCCGAAAGAGTCGATGTATGATTTATGTCTCCTAAACTATCAGACGTCTCTACTGAATTCGATCCATGATTGCTATTATGATTATTAACTAATTGATTTTGACTATTAATTGCTGTATTTGATAAAGCATGTTGTTGCCAAGTTGACATGATTATCTATAATAAATATTCAAAGATATTAAAGTAGAATTATATTATAATTACAAAACAAGAATTCAAGAACTTTAATCTTTTTTTTCTTCTTATTTAATATTAATAAATAAACTAACCTCTTGTCGTCTCAAGGTTGTTCTTCTTCTAAACATTATTCAATCGAACAGGTAACAAAGAAAATGACAAAATGAAGAAAAAGAAAAGAATAAACAAACGCACATATGAACCTTTTCGATGGATTATGTAAATTAAAAAACAAGCTCCATATGATTTTGATGTCAAAAAAAAAATATCTATTCTTTTATTTTATTTTGAAGTAATTTGATTAGATAGAAAAAGGACATATAAATAAAAATGAATACTTTGAATAAAAGAATATTCATGTTTTTCTAAAGATCATTCAATAACTCAATTTCTCGCTATTGATCATTGATTAGTTAGGTGATAGCTTGTTCCATTTATTTGAAGTTAAGAACAGAACTAACTAACCAAACAAATAAGAATTCCTTAGATGTCACTAAAGTGCAAGTTGAAAAAAGGATCAAACAGTTTTTTGTTAACGAGCGAGTATTAGTATTTAAAGAATTATAGACGCGTAATAGTGTAATTTATTTTTTGATTGATTTGAAAGAAAACGATTGTTATCATGTAATGATTCTTTAGAAAAGTCTCCAAAGACAATAATAATTTTTCTAATAGCACAAATCGTCGAAGAAAAAATTCTCCTGTGTTAACGATGACATCGTTTTCCCTAATGTCACATATAAGAAATCAATGTAAAACAAGGCCTCAACTGATGATTGAATATGATCAATGAATAATAAAAGAAAAACTATAACGCATTTATAAATAAATAGTACGATTTTATGTGATCGAATCTTCATAGATTTTTACAACTTATGAATTTTCTTTTAATTATATATAAAATATTAGAATATGAATGGTTCTATCTCGAGAAATATTAATATTTTCTTTAAATTTCTGCAGTCTTTAAAGCAACATTATGAAAAACCAACAAAAATTTTTGTGTGACAAGAAAACTGCTCGTAGGTGTAGTTAACATCAGAAACGGAAGAAGAACATTAAAATAAATTGCATGAGAGAGATAGTAAATATTCGTGTCATTTAGCGAAGACTTCCAGGCTTAATAAAACTCTAACCGCAATTATAGGTATAATGTCATTATTTTTTCCTTAGAAGATTTCAGCAGAAAAGTACATATTTTTTTTAGATAATATTCAACAACAATGAGAAATTGTATATAATA